ATGCAAAGACACCGCCGCGATAAGAAGCGACGACAAGACGCGATGACAAGTCGCCTAGTTTGCGATGTCTCTAAAACAAGGTCCACTGAGTAAATTTCTTAGCATAGAATGTTCATTTTCCCCTAAATTTTAGGGAAAATACCCCTAAGATGTCAAAGCTGAATTTAGTTATAGTATTCTGTACTAAAATTCAGCGTTGTCAGTCAGACCAAAATGACAAAAACAAACGAATGCTCCAATGTCTGTAAAATATAAAGGAAAAAGAATTTTCTTTTAAATAATGTTCACAAATTCAAATTTCACATTAATGAGCGATGGTATTCTATTAAATGGCAAGCTCAAGCAACATTAATTTTGGTCGAATTAATTGAATTTTCATAAAATAATGTTCGCAACCTAATCCACCGGAGAGTAAACCAATTAAAACATTAATTAGAACAAATCGATTCCATCAGACTGCCATCAAAGCAGCGCACTGCGAGCAACATCTAATTTATAATGTATCAACATTAAAACCGTTTTGGTCGAAAATATCACCCACTCCTCCCGTCTCGCTGTTTCGCGAGCCGCGGCGTCAATCACACGTTCCGTATGGAGATGCTTGGGGTCCAAAGGAGCTCGCGCGACTAATATTCTAGTACAATTTTGAGAAGTATAATGATGAACATTTAGTTTCACAATTTTATGTACACTTGTGTTTTATAATTATTTGTTAACTAGCGACCCGCCCTCGCTTCGCTTCGGTGTAGAGCTGAAGTGTAGACTACAGTTTTTGTTCTCAGGCTTGTATTATACACAATGACATTCATCTAGGATTCTTCTTATACCTGCATGCAAAGTCTCAGCCCGATCGGTTTAAAATTGACAAAGTTTCATACAAACTTTCATTCCCTATTTTATCCCCTTGGGGGTAGAATTGATCAAAATCCATTCTTAGCAGATGCCTACGTCATAACATCCACATGCATGCCAAATTTCAGCCCGATCCGTCCAGTGGTTTGGGCTGTGCTTTGATAGATCACTATGTCAGTCAGTCACCTTTGAGTTTTATATATATAGATTTGTTAATTTTCACTGGTTGACACAAGGTGCAAACATGAAAACAAATACCAAATGTGGTAAATATAACTAATAGGTGTGTAATGAACACCTTACAAAATTTACTTCGTTACAAAAAATATAAACTCAAGATTTTTTTATGTCGTAAATAATTGTGTTTGTTCTACACAATTTTATGCTTTAAAGAAGGATATACGAATTTAAAAAAAAAATATTGGGCTTTTAAACGTAACACCTTAATTTTTAAACGTAACTCCTTAATTTTTAAACGTAACTCCTTAATGATATACAGTTTTATCAAAAATGATTTTGTAGGTTTTTTCAAGTGCTCCAAGGCTGTGTAAATTAAATCTCTTTAAATCCCTTATTTAAAAAATGGACTGAGTTTAATGGACTCGAATTCGATGGTACTCGCTCGTAAATTGAGGCTAAACAGCCATATCCCGCTATATATTTATTTTCTAGAAATTTGAAATTTGGTGACTCATTTCTTTGTCGTGCTATTCGTAAGAGGAATTCTTTACCCGCGCAAGTGATCCCTCCTTCCTATAATCTGGGGTCCTTTAAGAGAGGCGTGAAGAAGCATTTTTGCAGGCCGGCAAGGTGAGGTGTAGCAGTAAGTACAACTGCTGTACCAGCTATCTGCGCGTTTGGACTTTATTAACACTTAACATCAGGTGGGGTAGAGTCATTTGCCTACCTCTATATAAAAGAAAAAAAAAACAAGCAAAGTGAAATCTTTTTAAACAAAAGAGTTACAATTTGATACTCTAGCATTTTTCCGTATCTCCAGTATGTTAAGAGTTATTTTAAAGAAAAGGGCTTTTTAACGAAATGGGTTTTCACTTTAAGCTCCATTTTTTTAAAAGTAGCCATTTTAAATAGGTCCAATTTCTAGGGTGTATTGATAGTAAAGAAAATCGCGGTAGGGCAACGATCAATTTTAATCAGGAGGGTTATTAGGGGGTCGTGTTCACTGTTTTTTCGTGGAAAAAAGTAGGTACTGATCTTATTTTTCTCGTAACTCGCTCAGTATATATGATAGTTTTTTAAAAAAAAAGTTACCTATGACTATGTACTTTAAAATAAATTTTATGAGTTTTCCTCGAAAAATGTACAGCTTTCTCGCTATTTGACTTAGAATCTTTTAAATTAAGCATTTGAAGAACAAAAGCTCACCATTAACAAGAAGTAGCTCGGTTCGTATTGGTTGCAGAGAAATTATACAAAAGTGTTTTCTTTAAACCCTCGGTGAGACAAAAAACGGTAGCCCTCATTTGAGCCATACAAACAACAATCAAGTTCTCTGAGTGCTTCTGGTCCATGGTATTTCAATGAATCAATTTTTGGGTACGAATATATTTTTGATTCCATTTTGGTATATCAAATAACGCTACGTCATTTACTTCACTAACGAAGGTACGTACGGCACTGTTAAAATACGCTCCAAAAATAAACCAACATGTTGTCATACAAACTTCAACTTTATTGCGGTAAAATAAGAGCTTTTAAACGTGGAAAGAAAATTTTCATTATCCTGCAACCTATTTCCTAGGGTTTATTAACATCAGACACCAGTCTATAAAGGCTTTGAGGAGTGTTTACAAATGGCGCAGACTGATTCCTTTTTAATTAAGTTTGATCACATGGAAATTGCTTGTTGACAGTTTGATTGATTATGTTTTTAATTAAGCACTCGTTTCGCTTCTACGAATCTCAAACTTACAAGGGAAAGTGAACGAATACGGATGATGCCAGGGTCGATGATGTAAACGAAATCCTATTTAGTCCGCTGGTTACATTATAATGAGAATGGACACCCATTTGTGAAGGTGTCTTCGGACGGCGCGTAAATGTAATATAATATATTATGTGTGTGTGTGTTTGTGGGATGCGTGCGCAGCTCTTTCCGACGAGTATGTAAGTTGGAGGGTAACTCGGTGAAGGCTGAAACGCTACGACCGCCACGAGCGTCACAAACGACAATATATATATAATATAAATATATTCTGATGACAATATATATACCTATTCATATTATAAATATTTTTGCTAGTGCTATATAACAGTTATTCCTCTGCTTTCTAAAATTTAGATTAGTGTTCACTTGTCAATTTTGTTGACAAGTCACCCATTTGCGCTTTTGCTGTTATTTTTACGGTTTAATTAAAATATGGGGGCAAATAAAATATCTTGTTTAAGAATTTAAGTAACATTGAGAATAAAAAATGATGTCGTATTTTTTACACAATTGTGCTTTTATTTAAACAAAATAAAACTAATAATATTATAATAACACTAGTAACATAAACTCAAGACTTGTACAAAAATAAAGTTCATTCAAATACCTATTTTACTTAAAACGCTATCCGTATGAACTGAGGAACTGAATAGGGTTTTTTCTTATTAAATTATAACTAAAGATCGATCAACAAAAGATATATATGAGCTTATCTTACATATCAAAAAATCTTATAGGTTCTCAAGAAACAATCAATAAAAATATGAAAATACTTAATCATTAATAATCTAGTAGAATGAATATATAAGTATATTATTATTTTTCACAAATCTTTGATGATTTTTTGAAGTGAAACTTCTTTTCGAACGGGGTGTAAATGGAAAAATACTATGGAAAATATGTAACGGAAATGCGTCACGAGTGTCACACGACTATGTATGTGTGTGTGTGTGTGTGTGGGATGCGTGTGCAGGTCTTCCCACTGAGCATGAAAGTTGCGAGGGTAACTCGGTGAAGGTATTTCATATATACATATATAATATATGTATATGCCTTATGCATAGGGTTACCAACTTTTTATCTATCAAATATAGTATTTTCGAAGCTGTTACCTCTAAAAATAATGTAGATGGCAAAAAAATGGAAAAAATATAGTATGTGGTTAAAACATTGACTTTATTTTTGAAATGTGTATATTTTTGCTGCTCTATACCTTAGTAATTCAGTCTGCTTTAAACGAAATATAGTAGTTTCGCCTACTATATATATTTAAAAGAATGGTATTTGATCCCCAAATATAGTAGGATACTTTATTATATAGTAGGGTTGGCAACCCAACTTATGCACCACGTAACACGTTATTTAAGAAAAGAAGTTTTACTTCAGATGTGTCGTACACATATTTTTTTTACTTCTGCAACTTTCTTACTTAGTTAACTAAGTAACTAATATTTAAATGTATTTAACACAATATTGTAATTTGCTCATAAAAGATATGAATAACACTTTGAACTCGCTAAAAGCCACAACCCGTACTTAGGCGCATAATTATCGATTCATAATTCCTTCATACTCGTATGTATCTCCTATATATATATCGCAGCAGTGTGTAACTTCATAGCCACTTTTTCTCTCATATATATTATATAAGATACCTACTATATACAGATATCGCAAAAACGCATCCGATATTATCGACCGATAATAACTCGCCTATGGGGGAGTGGCCTTAATCTATTGCTACATCAATTAAATATTTTTTTATGAAACAAACATCTGATAAAAATAGGACAATATACTTAGCGTGAAATCCAAAACAGTTCATGTGCAGGATAACTTAAGTTATATTTGAAACACATGAACATAACGAATATGAAAGGAATATATCGTTGTTATTTTAAAAATAGAAGCGATATATCTACAATTGAATCTCATATTCCGATAGTTTAATGCCCAGCTGCTATATTTTAACGATTCGTTATGGGTAACAAAAATTATCATTACATTTATATCTCAACTACCTAATTTGAAACGGTTATTTGCTAAGTCGTCGACAAAGTCTTTATTAGCCTATTTAAGTAAGAAACTATTTATGATAAATACTCACACACTACGGTAACACAATAAACAATGCAGAAAAAAAACTTTAATTTATTCTCTTGCTGTAAAATTTTAAATACTTATTATTTATAATTTCTCCATCAAATATCATCTAAGGGTCAGATTATTATCAGTACAACCGCTTTCAGTTTCCGAAAATGTATGTATATTTTATGATAAACAGGACCATCCAAAATAATTTATTACCTACACTTTCAGAATGGCTTTGTTACATTAGTACCTGTTCAATATTTTCTAAAAAACAGTGTTTTAATTACAACAACACTATTTGATTACAATTATCAAAAGTATAAAAAATTGCACACGCTTCTCTAATATTACCAATTTGGTGCATATTTTTATTATTTTAAAAGGCATATTTTGTTCGCAGCTTTTTCTTATCTAATTCTAGCATAATAGTTAACAACAACTCGACTTGTACCGACTCGTTAATTCATTGAAACCGGGCATAGTCAGTGTCGCTTCGGAGTATGACAACTGAATATTTCATAAAAATCCAACGCAATAAATACCGAGCAACGGAATATAGCATCCATTTTGATTTGGTAACGGAGTATATTTTTGCTTTCTACTTGAGTTGTACCAGCACCATGAAGTACGTGACGACAGCCCCCAGTACCTATTTGAGAGAAAAATACATATATTATTATTTACCACTGTTTGTGATAAAGTTATGCTTTAATAATAAATAAATAAGTTAATCTAACGCACCAATTAGCCTAGCCCTGAAGAAAGTACTGCAAGGCTTGTGTTATGGGATACTAGGGTAACGGATAGAAAACATATATAGTAGTATATTTTTTATTAAGAAATGAATATTAACATCCATGACTTAGGTACAAATGCTCGTATTCATCTTTACACAAACATTTGCCCCACCGGGATTCAAACCCGGGAGCTCTGAGTAGGCGACACCTTTAAAACCGGCGTACATACCAATCAATCCATGAGGGTCGCTTTTTGGTACTGTTGTGCTATTCTGTAAGGACAAACTCACTTTTTCAATTTGTACTCACTGCGGAGCGCTGCCCGCATCATTGGCGATGAAGAGGTAACTAACACACTCGAGTATCTATAATTACGTCGCGATGTGGCATTCTACCGACTATACTCCTTCCTTACACCTTCATCACCTTTTCTTCAGAGAACAACGCGCGCTGGCCTACGTAGTCTACGACTAACTGTGGTCACTATTCCTAGACGAACAAGGAAATTTGGTGACTCATTTCTTTGTCGTACTATTCGGAAGTGGAATTCTTTTCCCGCGCACGTGTCTGAAGAAGCATTTCTGCAGGTTGGCAAGGTGAGGATGGTTGGTGTGGCAGTTTATAACTGCTGTATTAGCTATCTTCGCGTCTGAACTTTATCACCACTTACAACAGTTGGGGCAGAGTCATTTGTATACCTGGCTATATATAAAAAAGGAACTCGAATTTCAAAAACAGTCACATCACACCGGCGAATGACTCAGTGATAAGTGTAGTGTAGTTTGCTCTTACAGAATAGCACTGCAGGTAAGCCCTGTTTATTGTAGAGGACTGGATTCAGATCGGCAAGATGAAGATAAGCAGCTGAAGCATCCTTCTTTTATAACGCATTGGCTGTCTTCACGGTTGGTCCCCGTTTACTATTAGCCTAAGATGGCGTTAAGTAAATTGCTACACCTTGTACAAAAACATGTAAAAACTCATGTCTACATCTCAAAGTACCGCTCTGCAAACTTTTTAATCATATTTTTGTAACCGCTAAGGAAGAACCATTCAGCTGCAGCTTTGATAATCTTATTTAATCAAGTTCACCGTACACGAAAAAAAATACTACTTACCTGTAGTTTTCTTTTGAGTGAAGGTTATTACCCCAAAAGACCAAGCAGATTCAAACAGAAATTTCACTATGCTTTCTTTATGTTAAAAGGGTGTCAAACAAACATATGACCACTTGATGGCAGCTTGTAGACGCTTGCCATACCAAAAATATCACTCGCTCCGTTGCCTACCCTGACCCACTTCCCTACCCCGCAGACCTTTGGAACCTTAGTTACCCACAGAAACAGAACACCACCACCATTGTGGCGGCGACATCTATATGCCCCACATATATACAACGGATGGAGGAAATCATCACTTATCATCATCAAGAGATGGCGTTACTTGCACTGCGATCATAAATAGTAGGCTTCCAGCCTAAATCGCACAAGTAAAATTTGAAGGCACCTCATATATACGATGCCCGACCAACATCAGTTGGGCCGCGGCCCCCGAGCTAACATCACCCAGCTCGGAGGAAGATCTTCCCCTTTGCCTTCCTATACTGGTAACCCTCGACTGAGCACAGCAGCAGCAAGCAGCAACCTTCTACCATTGCAGCGCAGCCATCAATCCTCGTACCCCTTCGTCATCAGGTCAAGTAACATCAGCAGTCACAAAGCAAGCCAGCATCAGCCTCAAGGGTCCGTCGCAGCTCTCAACGACGCTTGCTGGACCTTCAGCACACTCGACGGCATCATCTCGACCTGGTCTCCGCAGTCTCGCGGTACCTCACTTATCGGCAGCCCTGCACACCAGCAGCTCGGACCCACCGTCACACTCCATCTGTCTCGACTCACCGTAGACTGGAGCAACTCTGCAGCACTGGCCTTCCTACAGTATTATTTTACTATGGTCCCCTGTAAATTAAAGGTTACCCCAGACGGGCGTGCCAATTCGAGCGGAAAGTTCGCTATGCCTTAACTCTATGTTCCACTTCTTTAGAAAAAACGTACAGATGCAAACAAATCCAGTGATACAGTGAAGAACTTGGCACCCGAGATGCTCATGGCCTTCTGACACTGCTGACACACTATCTGGACGAAGGTCTTCGCTTCTTCGGAGCCGTCGTACCATTGGCAAGAGTATGCTGCTTCCATCACCGATGAACTCTGGACAGTAAAATTGCATTTTATCTTTTACAACGGCAAATCCTAAACGCAAATATCTTTATATATATATTATTATGAAAATACCTAAAAAGTAAGTCGCATTTATAATATATTTAAGAAAATTGATAAATTTTGATAAACGTATAGCACATTTTATTTCATTTATAGCTACAAGTTTGTAATCGTAGCCATCGTAGCAAGAGTTCGTAGAAGTCGGCCACGTAGTCAAGTAGTCGTAGCATTACTCAATTCCTAGATAAATAGCTACTCTGTTACTAAAAAAATGGTGTAGTCTCACGAAACCACGTACAAATGAAAGTTTTAAAATGTTTTACACCACCTTCATTTTTATAGCTTATAAAAACTGGACAGTAAAAAAGTCCTTCCTCGGCTGGGAATTGTGAAAATTTCACTTTAAAACTAATATTCTACTTCTGATAATATATCTAATTATTCATTTCGTAGATAAACTACTTTGCAAAGTTATGTTTTGTATGTTGTCTATCTCCTGAGTAAAATGAGCAATCTTCTGTTAAAAATGAGCAGAAATTTCAAATCTATTTACCTCTTCTATGAGTCTATTCCCAAATATACAAAAATGGAACACTTGACCCAAAGTGTAAGACAAGTAACCGACTGTGCTAAACGCATAAACGTTTATACCGCCGATCTGAAACAAAAAAAAATATATATTTAACTCCTACGTACAAATACACACATCAAAAGTGTCTAGGGATCAACATATATTTTTGCAATAACTTTTCTCCTGATTGATATTAATTAAAATTTTCTTTAAGGATTCATCAAATAAAGTGTTTTCGTTTGTCACAGTAACGATAAACCAAGTCACCTTTGCATTAATAAAGAAATTTGCCATTTTCCTAATAAAGGGATTTTTGACATTTGAACCACTAACACAAAAGTTCGAAAAAAAGACTGAAATAACAGTTTTCTCTAAAATTTTATTGGGTAACTTAAACAATTAATAATCCGTATTTCTACCGCGAACACTAACAACACAAGAACATCGGTTTGGCATACTCAAAATGAGTTCATCCAAATCACGCTGTGGAATGGCCGCCCATGTTCGTTGCAACAACAAAAAAAGGTCTTCTTGCGACTGGATACCCTCCATATTCGGCAGAGCTCTTCTCTGTAGCATATCCCATGCATGCTCAATCGGGTTCAAGTCTGGCGACTGAGCAGGCCAGGGCAGGACATTGATGTTAGCTGCGGCGAGAGTCTGTCTTACAACTCTTGCGGTGTGCGGTCGTGCATTATCATGCATTAACTGAAATAAGGGACCGATTTGCACTTGTAGAGGAACGATGACGTCTGATACAATCGTCTCAGCATAAATTTGAGCGTTGAGGTTGCCTCTGATCCAAATCAACTCAGTTCTTCCGCCGATCCAAATACCCGCCCATACCATGATGGTTCCACCACTATAAGGATGGACTTCCTGGCAGGATTTTAATCGCTGTTGGCGTCCAGGGGTTCTCCAGTGTCGTATACGTCTTGTATCCGGTCTCATACCAAAACGAGACTCATCAGAAAAGCACACGAAACGCCATTGTTCTTCTGCCCAATTTCTGTGTTCAAGAGCCCATTGATATCGAATCCTACGATTGTGCATTGCTATAGGTGGTACCCGTAGCGGTCTTCGGGAATGAAGGTTCACTTCATGCAAGCGGTTTCTGACTGTTTGGTCGCTAATTAAGTTCCCTGAAGAGTGATGAAGCCTCACGGCTAACATCATGGCGGTTATTGTTGGAGCTCTTCGAGTTAAGATTTGAATGTATCGGTCTTGTCTCCGTGTGGTGCAGCGATACCGTCCTCCATGGCGCTCAGCCACGGTACCAGTGCTTCGGTATCGTGTCCAAAGTCGACTGATAACACTCTGACTTGTATTCAGAGCTAAAGCCACAGTACGTTGCCGGGAACCAGCTTCTATCATTCCCACGGCTCTGAGCATTTCTTCCCTGCTTAAATGACGTCGCCGCTCCATAATAACGTTGGTTTTAATCAGTAGTAGGGAAACAGTAGCACTAATAATGTCTTCAATGCGTTGTATGTTTTTATAGGGAAAATATTGACAGCTGATTTTCATCTTTTACTCGAATTTGATTCACAGTTCCTGATTCAAATTATGAAATGCACCAAAAAGGATCCATATAAATTTATAAAATCATAAATTTATTACAAAGCCACATCTCAATCTCAAGAAATCCGCATAAAAATGCTTGATCCCTAGACACTTTTGATGTGTGTATAAAAAATAGATATATTGTTTTAAACTTTCATGGTCACTTATATTATAGCTATTAACGGGATTGTTACCATATACCTTGCTTTTTATGAGTTTTGGATATTTGCAAATGCCATGATCCCGAAGTAACGGAAGTAATTGCGTGTAAATGTTATTGGCAGACATATCGGTCTACCCTCTGACGTTGTCTGTTATCGCGCTCGGCACATTCTCACTATTCACTCACACCAGTACCCCTAGCACGAACCAATATCGAATTCGTATCGTTTGCGAGTCCGAAATGTCATTGTCAAATGTGTACTAATTTTTAGTTCTCGTTACGTACTTTGTGCCGCTGCTGTTCAAGTTTCCATACAAAATTTGACATAGACATTTCGGTTTGCAAACTATTCGAATTCAATAATGGTTCGTGCTAGGGGTACAGTTACATACAATACTTACAGTATCAGATCACGGAACGACCCTTTTTTTATTTTTCTGGTTTCAGCACATATGAATCACTGGATTCCAGGCACTTGACAATTTAAACCCATCCTCACGATTGAAATTCTTGTGTTTGGTTATTTCAATCGCTTACCTGAGCAATCTTGGTATGTACTAGTGTTCTGTCGAGATAATTTGTGCATTATGGAGCTCAATCCAGTGATTAGGAACCGAATCAATTAAATATTCCGAGATGGCTGCTTTTGCGTATCACTGTTTCTGACTTTATAAAAAATAAGTAACATGGTAACAATTCCGTTAATAGCTATGTTAATAGAAAGTAGAGTATCTTAAAATATTTGTCGTTTTTTTCAATAGTGATGCAGCTAAAAATTCTCCGATGATTCCGACGTTATTGTTTGTAGTTTGGAAATGAATGTACAACTAAAATCACCCAACCAAATATTGGATAAACAATAATAGTCTCTATCATTTAAAATGTAAAGCTTGGAACATTTTTCTCTGGTAATCCGTCAGCTTATAGTAGACAAAAACGCAAATGAACATTTTCAATTAACATTTTTTTGCACAATAGATTTTTACACATGAAATCGTAAGACCAATTTAGATTCGGTTTTATGATAGTATTCATCATGACTGTTAATAATTAAATTATATATTAAATCTTCAAGTCATTGGATGTACCTATCTATTCATAGACTAAAATAATCAAGAACTAAAAAACGACCTTATTTTTAAACACTTTAAAATTAATAGTTTAAAAAACTAAAAACACGCTTTAAATTAACTGCACTAAAAAGTCAAAAATAAACTAAATATACTCTATGTTTACTTAATTAGGTCCTTAGAGAAAGTTATGTTTATAGTTTGTTTTAACATAAATATATATATGTATATATATATATTTATTTATATTTATGTTAAATATATTATATATATTAGTTATATATATATATATATATATATATATATATATATATATATATATATATATATATATATATATATATATATATATATGAAATATAACTGAAAAAAGCGTGGAGCGTGTTATAATAAAATATAAACATGGACCTAATAAAAGCGTTTTGATAAAATGGAGAAAGTTTTAGAATATTTGTGTTACTACAACCATCATACATTGTTACATGTCATTACAACTTTCAGCAATGTACCTGTAGTACTGCTGGGTACACATTTAAATTAGTCTGGCTATAGGTTGGAACCATCAAAATAGCCTGTAGCTTTTATACTGTAACGAAAGTACGAATACATTTCATTGATGTTTTAGTGTGTCCGGCGGGGGTTGCTACCAAACTGTTTGGCAATCGATTAGATCATTTTCTATTACTGCACAGATGAAAATATAAAAGATGGGATTAATATTTTACCAATTGTGCCTAGGATATTGCTTACCATTGTTACCTGTTATCTGCCAAAGCCACCATAATCAGAATTTCATAGTGAGCCACCCTTCTTACCTGTGCTCGAGTCAAGCGCTGAAAAACTTTCAGCTTTTATAAAATAACGAAGATCTGATAGCCACGGGCTCTTACTCTATAAAGATAAATATGAAGAACAGATTTTTTTTTACCTTAGTAGCTTGATAAGCTAAAAGAGTCAATGTGATGGTAGACACCAACATGTGGAATAGCAGAGCGGTTCCATAGGTGTCACCTATTGAGGCTACCAGTCTGAAACAATAGTAATATGGGCAGTTGTTAACAAGACCATTTCTATGTTTTTTATTTTTTAAGAATTTAACAGCTAGATGTTTAAATCTAAATAAAAGTTTACTAGAAAAAAATCCACGCGGATCAGGAAGCAGAAGGGACTCAAGCCCGCACCCTTCGCTATCCATGCGAATGCACTAACCATTATGCTACCGCGGTTCTGACGGTTTTGTGACGACCTTGTGGGTTACCTACAATGCGAAGAGATGGCGCTGCCTTGCAGCCTAAAGCTAGAGAAAATTCGACACGGCTGTTAGGGCCGCAGTAGCATAATGGTCAGCGCATTCGCCTGGATAGCGAAGGATGCGGGTTCGAGTCCCGTCTGCTGCCTGGTCCGCGTGGATTTTTTTCTAGTAAACTTTTATTTAGATTTAAAGACCATTTCTACTTAGGAGGCACAGTTTTAAACCGTATCTACGTACGGTCATCAGTTAATTATGGGACAATGTGGATTAACAAAACTGGCGCGAGCAACGGTTTAGGCTCGGTGCAAATGTGTGTGCTTGTAAATAAGCTTAGCCCCTAATCCCGGGTAGGGTTACCATCTGACAAACATTTGCCGCATTTGACAGGCATTTTGCAGTTCAGACAGGCGTGCAGTCGGCGCTGAGCTAAGACAGGCATTTGTGAATTTCGCGAGTCACTCACGCAGCCACGACACGCACGCACGTGCGCGGCATGCTACACGTGCGTAATGTTGCGTGGAGAGCGTAGACCACGCAATGCATTAATGGAAAAACGAGCTAGCTCGAATTAGAACGAAGGATAATATGATTAGTTTCTTTAGTTAGCTTCGAATCTTTTTTACTATAGGTAGGTATTATCCCGTAAAGCTAGGAGCTTTGCGCATTCTAGACAGGCTTCCTCCTAAATAATATAAAGATAATAAAATTATAAGTGTTTTTTTATAGAAACGAGGAGGTTTCACGTGCGATTACGTGAGCCATTTTATTTATCACGTCACGTTTTAAAAGGGCACCTGACAGGAATTTAATAATACCAAGTATATAAGAACCGTGAGTAAAATAAATATTAAGGCCTGAAAAAATCAGGTGTTTGTTTCTTTATAATTTGGTCTATAAATATATGTTCCTATGTATACCAGACTAAATAGGGACAAACTCCGCAAGATTACAGGATCCTTGATTAGTTATCACCAGCTTATTAATGTGCTCCTCTGTGCACCGGAAGCCAGGTTAAGCTGTTAGTGACGGCTGCACCACTGTTGGCACCCACCAATCCAAGGCATGAGCCTCTTCAGTGGGGTCATTAATAGGCTCTGTATATAATAATACAGGGAGAAAAAAACAGCCCTTGCTGAGTTTCTCGCCGGTTCTTCTAAGTACAAGGTTTCCTGTCGTAGTTTTGCGAACCGATGGCGAAGCTTCTTGACCTTCACAAGTGCTTGTAACAGCCTAGGCTGAATATTTTTTTTTTTAGTTTGATTTTGAGAAAGGGTGAAGATAATGGTGATGTAGTTAATCCTCATGAGGAAGAACTGCCTTTTAAGGTATCTGTAACTGCTTTGTTTTAAGATTTTCGTCTTTAACCTTAACCTCTGTAATAATGAACAAGGAATTAACTTGGATTAATTAATGTTTTGTCTCTGCTCATTGAATTACAAATGGCACTTGAGTGACATGTTTAAAACACGGTGTAACTAGTCTATGCTTATTCCTCGTTTATAAATAAGGTTTTAATATTTATTTGAATATTATGTAATATATTAACCGCTTTAGCACGCACGTAATACGCAAGTATTGCATTGTAATCATCATCATCATCATATTAATGTCCCCACAGCTGGGGCACAGTCCTTCCCTATGGATGGATTAGGGAGATTGGGCCATGACCCACCACGCGGGCACAGTGCGGGTTGGTGGGTGCTAACGACTGCAAATGCAGCCGGGACCAACGGCTTGACGTGCCTTCCGAAGCACGGAGGAGCTCGAGATAGCAAATTTTTGGTCACCCATCCAATAACCGACCTGTGGGAAAGTTGCTCAACTTCAACGACCGCAGCCGAACACGCTAACCACTGGCGCCATCGAGCTGCTCCATTGCATTGTAAGCTGCATCCTAATATTAGTCATTTGATACACAGCAACCATTCAATTAACGAATTCATCATTTTGATTTGAAAGTTTTAGTGTGAAAATTTACGTACCTAGACATACCATCAACTAAACAACAACAAAAAGCTGATAGAAAATTAACAACGAAGTACCGAGACTCATAAATCCATTTTTAATAAAAAGTATGTTATAATTTTGATTTTGAAGCATGTAACTGCTCGTAGCATGTAAGAAAGGCTAGAAAGAATTCGACACGGCCATCAGGGCCGCGGTAGCATAATGGTAAGTGCATTCGCCCGGATAGCGAAGGGTGCGGATTCGAATCCCGTCTGCTGCCTGCTCCGCCTGGATTTTTTTCTAGTAATATTTCCTTTGGATAAAAACTATGTTTCTTTTTAGCCAAAACTCTAGAAAAAGAAGCAAATAAAACGTTGAATAAGATCTCTTTCTAGAAATGACTATAAATATTCGATTGCTTGTGTTATAGAAAAAGTACATGAAACAAATTTCTATTTATTGGAAGTTCTTGTTGATCGATTCTATAGATACACCTGCTGCGATCGCACAATTTCCATTTGTATGATAAATAATTGATAGACAAACAATCGAAGACGCAATGTCGTTTAAAGAGGATTCAATAACAATTTAGAAACTAAAACTGTTATAGCATATAGCAATTATAATTGTACCGAAAAAAACATAGGTAGGTATTATCGAGGAGCTCGATGGCGCAAGTGGTTAGCGCTTTCGGCTGCGATCGTTGAACTTAAGCAACTTTCGCAGTGGTCGGTCATTGGATGGGTGACCAAAAATCACTATCTCGAGCTCCTCCGTGCTTCGGAAGGCACGTTAAGCCGTTGGTCCCGGCTGCATCTGCAGTCGTTAGCACCCACCAATCCGCACTGGGCCCGCGTGGTGGGTCATGGCCCAAATCTCCCTATTCCATCCATAGGGAAGGCCTGTGCCCCAGCAGTGGGGACATTAATAGGCTGATGATGATGATGATGATGAGGTAATTATTTTGTTAAACAAAAATAGGCGTCACAGGGTTGGAATAGCGTTTTGATCAGTATCATTTTGTTTGCACTTGGTCGGATTCGCAAAAGGACGGATTTTCATTTCGCCGGATCCAATACAGTAATGTGAAGAAATGCATATTAATTATAATACATTTAGTTGTCCAGTCAACGTATAAGTTGGTTTAAACAAAATTGCTTGCAATGTTTTTATTGATTAATTAAATAATACAGCGTCCTACAATAGGGGTGATGACGGGGTACAGTAAACGAAATTCTATTTAGTCCGTCAGTTAGATGATCAAAAAATAATGGACACGTATTTTTTCTTTGGACAATCAACCATAAAATGACAAAGTTATAGCGCGTCAAAGTTTGGGAGTAGGAGCTCGTGACGTCACTTTTTAGTGAATTTTCACTTAAAAGTGTACTAAAACTTTTCTTTTCAAATCAATATATCTCTGCAATGTTTATATTATGTGAAAAAAGAAAAAATACGTGTCCAATACTTTTTGATAATCTACCTGATAAAGGAAAAAAAAAAAGTCATTATCCTATTTCTATCAAAGGTTGCTTACTACCACTGACGAATTGTATATAATTGCCCTCCGTGTAATTGCCTAAGCAATAAAACTGTGTTCAATTTCTTAGAGCAATTGTGTATGTTACATATTAATAAGTTTTTTCGAATGTCAGATTGCTTTGTTTTTTCAGGATTTTAAAATAGAACTATATCAAAAAAAGCTTGAAGTTTTACCATACCTAAGTATTTTCTCGCTAACTTTATTCTGGCGAAATGAGAATCCATCCTTTTGCGATTCCGTCCAAATGCGAATAAATGACAAAAGCCATTATTTAACATACTTTGATAATTTATTTATCAATATTCATTCCACGGTTGCTTAGGTACTACAATAAAAAAACAATAGCTTTATTTAAGAAAAGGTAAATTGTTCTCTATTCAATGGTAAACATAATAGGTATGTTTAATTCGTCCAAGCTATCTGAAACATCCACCAATTTCCAATAAACGTCAGTAGAAATTGAAATCAAATAGCAATTCTTTCCTTATTGATTTCTCGTTTCTTTTTCCTTGATACACAACAAACAAATGAAAATAGAACAAAAAATATAATGGAACAATATATAAAGCGCAAACTCAATTTTAATTTTTCAAGCGGCTCTTAGTTTATTTGGTAATGTTTCACAAACAATTACAAAAACAAAACACACACTCGAGAGCAATGAAACCGGGTCACTTAAAGAATCCTAAAAATTTCGCAAACTAAGAATGCTAACTTAATTAAATAAATTCTAATTAATAGACAATGAAATACTCCTTCAATATAGATATTAAAACTTCTTAGTTATTGTGAAGTTATATCATAAAAGAAACAATTTTGAACAAGAGAGACTTCCGAAGATGGAAGTACGAAATTACTGCATTTGTTTTTGCTTTTGTTCCTAATCTGTCATTTATCATTTATATAAACTATGTCGACAGTGCTCAATATTAATTATTCAAGCTGTAATCATGTCCCTTGCACCTGAAGGATGCACCAGAATTCTCAGTGCTGGAAACCGGATGGAGTCAGCGCGATACAGCCAGGACCGTCGGTGTGTCATTGTCAACAGTACCAAGAGTTCTCCGACGTTATGAGGAAACTGGGTCTCTATCACGCAACCCGGTTATCAACCCGATCGAGCATTCTTGGCAACAACAAATAACGAAACCCTCCCCCAATTACGCTTCGTGAGCTCAAAATTGCTCTCACAGAGGAATGGGAGAATATTTCCCAAGATCGTATTAGAAACTTGGTGTATAGCATGCCAAACCGGATAAACGCAGTAATAAATGGTAGCACAAGTAGGCAATACGAAGTATTAAAATCGTAATGTTGTTCAAAAATGACATTTTTCCTATTTTTGTTTTAAGGCGAGATCAGCCAGTTTTTTTTTTGTTTATGTATTTTTTTGTAAATAAAATGTAGTGACTCATAAATTTAATTACTTTCGTTTAAGGAGTATTAAATTGTCTTTTAAACACAATATATTTCATTAAGCTAGCATTCTTCGTTTGCGAGATTTTTAGGATTCTTTTTGTGACCCGGATTCATTGCTCTCTAGTGTATTTTATGTGGCGGTAAAATATGCATAGATCTTTGTTTTATACGTCGACTATAGGGTAATTTTAACATGAATAAACTGATTCTTACATAAAATATGTACAAAGAAAATATTACTACAAAAAAATCCACTTGGTTAGGCTGGATTAATGGGTATACTGTTTCAAACATTTATGTTTACTAACGCTACAGTACGAGTAATATAAGTTATTTACGGGATTTTTTCCATGTACCTTGTTTATAGCGAGCTTATGACATTTCGGTATTGTTGCAATTACCATGATCATGGACAAACTCGCTAAAAACAAGGTACATGATAACAATCCCGTAAATAACTTATATTACTATAATGGATTATTTGGCTTTAGATTTACAAAACTATTTTAAGAAGATCATCCGCTACGGAAGAATCTATAAGCTCGTCGTCAGATTCCTAACCGAACCCTATACAGATAAAAATTAAATAAAAACAATTCAATTTTTGAGTGAGGTGGATATGAGAAATGAAACAGCCAGCGTGTCGCTTGACAACTAAGAGAGTAATTTATTCTTATTTACATCTTCAATACTATGCGGTTGTTACACAATTTTAACAAACGGTGGTTAACAAGTTTCTCTCTCTTAATATTAGGCAAGAACTGAACATATACTAATTTTCCAAGAGAAACGAACTTCTTAGCAATCCATGGATTCACCGTGCGGGTGCTTGTCCATCGTGTGGGAGAGAGAAACTCTGAGCACTTCCCGGGCCTCGCGACCCAGGTGTAGGTGTAAGGAGGTCCCTTTTAAGAAGCGCTTCAACGCTCACCTTTACTGCTCGAGTTACCTGCCCTTCCTAGCCAAATTTTGATGAATCTATGAGCCTGTTAGTGCAGCCTAAGTTACTCGTTCCAAAATTGAACTTACTGCAGTTCTCGACAAGACTAAGTCTTTTAGAATATTATAGAGAGATTTTACTGGTATACCTCTCGCTCTAACTTCTACCGCATATGAATTAACTACATAGTCGTTTTTAGTTAGTTCGTTGGTTAGTTCGTAATATTTATTTAATTTGATTGTGTGGTCTTTCCACAGGCACGATGGAGTGACGATTTGCGCAAGGTGGCTGGCAGGAGCTGGATGCGAGTAGCCCAAGATCGATCTGAGTGGCGTGCAACTGGAGAGGCCTATGTCCAGCAGTAGACTAGGACAGGCTGTTGATGCGTGGTCTTTAATAATATTGATGTGCATCAGCTGTATATTTTGTGCTCGGCGTGTTTTAGATACAAACTATACGCTAACGGTATAGTCATGTCAAAGCTAGTTTGGTGTTACGCTCTGCTTAGATGCCATAAAAATTTTGACGGTAGCGATACGAATACGGATCTGTTGCAGTTCGTGCTTGGGGTACTGTTGATAAATTGCCTTACCTTACAACATGTTTGTGCCTCTCCACCCAATACTTGATGGCAGATCTCGCAAGCATCTCTTGTTTCTGTGACAACCCGTTGGGATTGTTGGTGTTCTGTTGTCCGAATGTCTGCAACCTACCCCCGCCGCCTCGCAACGTCATGCCGAAGTCCTGCTGAGTGGAGTATATGCCCCTGATGTCCAAGTCCACGGGGTCGGGGACTTTCTCGGATTTTTCTATAGATAAAATAGAACATAGCTGCTACGAAGTACATATACGAATTTAAATGGTTTGAAATCTGTCACTTTTGTTTTTGGACAACATCTTTGTCCAAACCTACAGGAGAAGCTTTTATATTGGAGCCCAAGCGGGGATTTTTGGATTTACTCAAGCGTGGCAGAATAATATATGAGGGGCAACCTTGCACCTGATTAAGTACTCCCACCATACCTGAGCCATCTATGTAGGGCCGAACGTATAGGGGAGCAAAAAAATGTTTTCAACAAACGGTATGACTTTTGGTCGCGCCATGTCGGTCGGTTGATTTTGGTGGCGAATACCATATATAAATCTGGCGATTATGTCCAAAAATCCCCGCTCCACTAATAAAAGCTACTTCTGAAGGTGGTTCGGATTCATATTTATTATAAACATACCAGCGGCCGTCAGCGACTTCGTAAATTTAGTTCTGTTAGGAATAACACAAGAACCATATTACCAAGATAAAAGGTGTTCTATGTCTCAATCCAGGACCTAAATATATGCGTACCAAAGGACATTGGGCAAAAATGTATGGACGCTGCACCCACGTCCGCCACGGCATAAACTACATTTGTTTGAAAGGTATTATAGTCGAAATCATCTGTGCCAAAGCGCATCAAATTCCATCCCGGGGGTCTTTAGTTATTTTATGTTAAATATGTACAAGTACTATAACGAACGAACATAAATCAAACAAGGGAATTAACATAGTTAGTTAGTCCGACTCTACATAGGGTGCTCAGGAATTATGGGAGTACTTCATAAGGTGCAAGGGTGCCCCCTTATGTTATTCTGCCGCGCTAGAGTAAATCCAAAAATCCCCGCTTGGGTTGTGTTTTTTTTTAAACATTCTGTTCGTTATAGTAAATTGTCTTCTATGTAAAACGGAGCGACCACAGATTACACAAACTTGTCCACGCTTCGGAGAACACTTGATCCCAGTTCATCCATACTAATTGACAAAACCGATAATCGTGTTCCAATATCCAAAGCGTGTTAGATTAGAAACAATCACAACGAAGTAAGACGAGACGACTATTTGCAACTGAAAGTCCTTCATCATCCGTAAACCGTTTTGAAATATCTAAGTAAGAGCAAGCGCAGGATGGTCGGCAGGCTTTGTCGTATATCTGGTTGTACAGTACGATATGGCATATGATATATATTATGATTACTAATAATATAAAATGAAGGTACTATAAAATGAATTTATTCAGCTACTTAAATATGCCCATGTGTCATATCTATTGACTACCAGGATATTTTTTACGGTGTCATATCTTTTGACTCCCAGGATATTTATTTTCGGTGTCATAATAAAAAAGGCTAGTTTTTCATAGATCTATCGATTCATACTAATTACATTGTTGGCGGAGCTGGGTGCGTTTTGCCCATTGTCCTTTTATCCCTAATCTTTTCAGTAGTTTTTTGCGTGATCGAGTAACAAACATACAAACTTTCACATTCATAATATTACACTGTAACATTATATTCCTAAAATATATCAGTGGATCACGCTAATGGATAAATCCCGCAAGTATTAAAGAAGGCAAGGCACACTCGACAAAATTTTATTGATATAGCTGCTAATATAATGGATTTTTTGTTATGAAGCTTTTAACAAAATTGGATACGCAATCACAGCGCGATGCCAAATTTCGCAAGAGCTTCTGTATCGTCGAAATGTAGTATCAAACCATTATAAAAGCATTTTCATTAATCGAATATTATAAGTTTATTCAAAGAGATCCACAGAGTAGGCAATAAAGTCAGATTACAACCTACAAATAATAGTCTCGTATAGAAGGCAGTACCGTCTCTGACCTATTAGAGTCCCTGGGCATATTTGGATAATGGGACCCCTATGACCCCCGTTTGGTGATTTAACAGGAACTAGGGACTTTGTATTTGATCTGAGGGGGGCCCCTATCGATCGCGAGGCCCTGGGAACTTGCCCCAAGTGCCCACTGGGAAAAAAGGGTCTGATAGAAGGCTATTGTGGCATCAATCATACCCATCCTACTATTCTTACTTCTTAATAATAAATAAATTCAAAAAAAAAATTTCAAAATTCAATATCGTTTATTCAGTCTAGGCTGTTACAAGCACTTGTGAATGTCGAAAAGCTACGCCATCGGTTCGCAAATCTACGGCGGGAGACCTTGTACTGAGAAGAACCGGCAAGAAACTCAGCAAGGGCTGTTTTTTTCTCCCTGTATTATATACAGAGTCGTCAAATTGAAAAATGACTTCAATATGAGGTGACTCATAAAGTCACTTTCCATTACAATTGCAAATAATATAAAAATTATGACTGTATAAAAAACTAGTTGAACAAAGTTTAGGAATGCCGTGTCCTGCTGTTTAGGCAAAAAAAAAACAAAAAAATAATATTATAAATGCGTGAGTGAGTTTGTTTGTTTGTTACTCAGTCACGCAAAATCTGCTGAACGGATTTGGATGAAACTTAGTACGCTAAGTATCCTATGTCCAAATAGGTTATATTATTTATCCCGATAAAATGAGTTTCCTGAGGGACTCTCAAAAAACTAAAGTTAACACGGACGAAATCGATATAATATTATATATGTAAAAGTTTTTATGTTTGTTACGCAGTCACGCGAAAACGGCTGAACAGGTCCAAACCTGTTGTCTGTGTATGAAGTTTTATCCAAATAAAACTTCATACACAGACAGCTTATAACCCGGAAAGAGACATAGAATAATTTATATTCCGTATAAGTGAGCACGGACAAAGTCGAGGACGCCCACTAGTTTAACATAAAATAATGAATTTTAGTCAACGGACACACATCCATGAAGTTGGTTAAGGTTATACTTTTTTCTCGCGAATATATAACTTAAAGGGGGCGAAACAGACCATGAAATTGTGTATGGGAATCCATGCAGCCAACGAGTAGCTGGTAAACTTTAAAGGAAGGCATAGCAGATTTCCCACTCGAATTGGAGCTCCCGTCTGGGGAAGTAACCTCCACGTTACAGTAAAATGACACTTCCTTTTGATTGTGTTATGTTTCTGTAGGTGCGTAAGGTTCCAGGGCTCCACGGGGTAGGGGATTGGGTCAGGGTAGGCAACGGTACGAGTGATAGTTTTGGTGTCACAAGTGTCTATAAACTGAGGAGCTGGCGAACAAAACGGTATAATTTTATTAAATTAAATTTGACATGAGCTGTATAAAACTTAATGACATATCTTCAGTGAGCTTTTGGCATGGTTTTTAATTTGTAAAGGACATTGGGCAAAAATGTATGGACGCTGCACCCACGTCCGCCACGGCTTAAACTACACTTGTATGAAAGGTAATATGGTTATGACCATCTGTGCCAAAGCACATCAAATTCCATCCCGGGGGTCTTTAGTTATTTCAAGTTAAATAGGTACAAGTACTATAACGAACGAAAGTTAATGAAACAAGGGAATTAATTAATATCGTTAGTTAGTTCGACCCTACGTAGGGGCTCAGGTATTATGGGAGTACTTCACAAGGTGCAAGGGTGCCCCCTTATGTTATTCCGCCGCGCTAGAGTAAATTTCAAAAATTCTGTTCGTTATAGTAAATTGTCTTCTATGTAAAACGGAGCGACCACAAATCACACAAACTTGTCCACGCTTCGGAATTAACAAAATTCCAATTCATCCATACTAATTGACAAAACCGATATCGTGTTGCAATGTCCAAAGCGTATTAGATAAAATCAATCAAGTGACAGGGAAGCGCCCAATCACAACGAAGTAAGAAAAATCGACTATTTGCAACTGCAAGTCCTTCAAACTCCGTAAACCGTTTTTAGGAGTCTCAATAAGTGCAAGCGCAGGATGGTCGAAAGGCTTTGTCGTATATCGGGTTGTATAGTACGATATGGCATATTATTATAGTTACTAATAATATAAAACGAAGGTAATGTAAAGCGATTTTATTTTGCTATTTAAATATGCCCATGTGTCATATCTTTTGAATACCAGGATATTTTTACGGTGTCATATCTTTTGACTACCAGGATATTTTTTAAGGTGTCATAATAAAAAAGGCTGGGTTTTCATAGATCTATCGATTCATACTAATTACATTGTTGGCGGAGGTGTGTTTTGCCCATTGTCTTTTAGTAATTTTAACACTGTTTTACTTCTTATTGAAAATTATTTGAGAAACCTTCAGACTGTAGTTTGACCAGATGCGTCATTATACCGTTTTGTTCGCCAGTTCCTCAACTGTGATTGATCGTTTACCATCAGGCGGGTCATACATTTGATTGCCTTTTAACATAAAAAAAGGAAATCTCACCAGTGGATGACGCACGGAACAGCTCAGCAGTATTGGGCCGGTACGTGTCCAAGGACGCGCTCAGCTCCATCAGCGGTTTCATGATGGCCTTCAGATGCTGCAGCTGCTCGCACGCGAATATCAACCACGAACAGAACATCACGTCCATCAAGTTAGCGATTGCCATCGAGAACAAGAGCCAGTACACCTGGATGGATAGAGAATTCATTAATTCATTCCTACACGACAGGAGCAAAGTTCTTATAGCGATATTTTATGCTCGCTAAATACTTAATATCAGTACGCATGAAGCACCCAGCAGCAGATTAATTGTCGCTACAGCCACTCTGGCTAAGAACTCACGGAGCGGCTTTTAACCGCAGCTGCCGCGGGCAGCTGTAGAGCTGTTTTATTTCCAAACATGCGAGATCGCGTGACACCCGCCGCGTCTGCGGTTGACTGGTAGAAAATGCCATACTGGCATTAAGTCCGCCATTTGAATTGTAAAGGCAATAAAGATTAAATAAATTGCGTTCCACGCGCACTCGCTGCGGGTGACGCAAACAACCGCGCTCATTACGGGCGTAGAGGTGGGTGTTTTAGGAATAACGATGCGCGATAACGATGCCGTATAACGTTCTTGACAACGTAACTATAGCTACAGTACCACAAACTTATCATTATTAAATAAGATATTATTATGATTCTCTTTTATTATATAATAAAAAAAAGTCTATGTGGTGATTTTCAACGCAGATTTTTCCAGTTAGTTTGATCGCCTGTTCAGCTAAAATATTTCAGTGTTGTTTTTTATTGTCAAGATAAATATTTTTTGTTAAGTCCTCTATGCACTATTTATCATGCTGGATCCAGTATGCGGAACAACGCTATACACGGAAAGGAGATGGAGATACAAGATCTCTTTTACGTGTATAATTCGTATTGCATCGCATCCTGTGACACTACGATACTAGCTGGACTGATATTCACTTGGCATCGATTCCGGCAGCGATGCACGCATCGGATACGATTTATCTGATATCGATGCGCATCGATTTTAAAAACATCTAAAAAAACGGCCATCTCTATGTGGGCGTAAACATAGTCACAGGGGACTTTGGTGTTTTTTTTAATCAGTATACTATTTCAGTTGCAGCTAGGGCTGGCAGAAGTTGTGCTGCACGGCCTTAGCCAAATGCCTAAAAGTAGGGTGCATTAAAATCCCCCAAAAACACCAGTTCTGTGTTTGGAAATTGCTCCTGGGCATCATTTGCTACCCGACTAAGGTGATCAAAGAGTCGAGTTGCCCCAGCGTCGCCGTTGTGGGATCTGTAGAGGCACACTTAGACTCTTGCCAAAGAACCAGAAACTACATGTACTGTCAACATGGAGAAGAAGGCGTCTTCCAGGCAGCTCAAACGGCGATAACAAACATCCGCCCGAACATGCAGGCTTACGCTGGCTTTTGCTTTAAAGAATTCTTCCATCACGTAGCCGGGATAGTTAAGGTTTGTTAAGTGTTTCTGCTTACTGTATATTCTCTCAAGTAACATACCCGGAACTAATCTCATATACCTACCAGATTCATTAAGACAACTAATTTTCAAAGTGAGATAAATAACAAGACTGCGTTTTTTTACTTGGACGATTCAAAAGAGTTGTACTATACATCGAATTTGGATAAAGATATATTGATTTATGTTTTCTACTATGTGCAATAATCAGCGCAGTCTATTAAGGCCTTGAAAGCTTAACCAAGACCGCAATGTATTTAATAAGGTGACCTTATGTATGCATATTTTATGAAGTATGTGCTCAAAGGTAGAAATTTTAATAAAAAAATCTAACGTAATATCTGAGTTCATTCGAATTGCAGAATAGATCACAACTCGTCTGTATTACGCTTTAAAACAATAAAATTCCTCAACTATCTCATAAACGGTGGCCCACAATGCACAAGTGCCTTCTCTTCAACTCGCATTTTACAGGGCACTTTTAGCTCTGATGCATTAGGGCCGGCCGTTTAGCGAGCAACCCACGCTGAATGGAGAGAGCTAGAACATTGGAAATTGAATGGAAATTGACTAATCGTTCGCGGAAAAGAAAGACTAAGGACTGAAATAGTTTCCTGCTTGTAACAAAACTTCATGAATAATTTGACTTCATCACCGCTTTAATTTGAAATATATAGGAGCAACTCAATTTTCAATAAATAGTACTAGCTTTTGCGGCTTCGCTCGCGCAATAGTAATAATTAAATTAATTAATCCTGGAACAGATATTTGCTTATTCAGTTAAACGATTAACCTCGCGATCTTGGTGCAACCCCTGTTTTATTCATTAAGATGATGTTAATGTTTAGTTACACTTAATATAAATAACACTATTTGTATTTATACTGTATGACACAACAATTAAAATGCAGGTAAACAATTATGTAATGAAATGTGACTTCATGAATGTTCTCTGAAGTAATTTTTGAACTTGACGACTCTGTAAATAATAAAACAGGGGAAAAAAAATAGCCCTTGCTGAGTTTCTTGCCGGTTCTTCTCAGTAAAAGATAGATCTCCCGCCGTAGATTTACGAACCGATGGCGCAGCTTCTAGACATTCATGAGTTCTTGTAACAGCCTAAACTGAATAAATGATTTTGTTTATGATTATGATTAAGAGGATGAGTTTGGTAATCCTTTCTTATGCCAAACCCCGAACTGCAAGACCAACAGATACTATTAGTTCTTTTTGTGATGATGTAACTTATGAAGAAGACAAAAGCCTCTCTGAGTTTGTTTCTACCGTTCTTCACAGAAAGTTCTTCTCGCAATTTGGGAACTAACTGGTGGTAGTTTATGGTAGTTCAAAAAAGTAGGGACAATACTAAAAAAAAAATGTTTGTTAATTAAATTAGCTAATAAATTCATATATAAACAATACAATTTCAATAACATTTTCAATGAAGTATCCGAATGCTGAGTAAAATTCTTTCGAAGGTAGCTCGACAGAGGTAATTAAAAATCTTAGTTTTGACGACGTAACCTGAAAAGGATGCGAAGCGGGAAAAAATACTCATTTTGTATCCGTTTAAAAGCGTTTCATTTAATGAGTGTGTAAACTTAAGAATCAAATACAATATATATTTTATATAGTCAAGTAGGCAAATGACTCTACCACACCTGATTTTAAGTGGTGATAAAGTTCAAAGATAGCTGGTACAGCAGTTATAAACTGCCTCACCAACCATCTTCACCTTGCAAAAATGCTTCTTTGTGTCTATGGTATGAAAGAGCACATTTGTATCTGTAACTAGTATATTTTGTCTTTTCCTTTGTAACGCGAAGAGTACAAACTGCTTTTAAGGTCCAAACTTTAACCTTAATCTCCCAAGGGATTATACCTCGTTTATTATCAAAACTACATCCCCCTTATTAACAAACAAGGAATATGCTTAGACTAGTTACGCCGTGTTTTGTTCATATCACTCAAATGCCATTTGTTATTCATTGAACAGAGACAAAACATGGAATAACTAATCCAAGCGTATTCTTCGTTTATTAATAAGGTGGTATAAGAATAGACAAAACTATAAGTAGTTGAAACTTTACATTCCACATCAACAGCAGTATTTTTTTTTGTCAAGACTATCAAGATTACACAATAGGCTATTTGACAGTATGAAAACTAAAGTACCAATTGTTGGCATCTGTATTTAATATGAATATTAACAGCGATTCTACTATTATAAGAGAACAAATAATTTAATAACGCTTCTAAAAAATCATTAGATAAAAATGATTTTTTGTTCTATGGTCACGGGAACGCTAAATACCTTCTTTTTTTTTGACTGGAAAATGCCTTACGCCTCCTTCAACCACTGGGGTAGCGAGGAGAAGGTATGTGGGACTCCTCTCTGTCCACTTCTGCCAGCCCTGAGGCCAGATGAAGTGTACAGGGCCCTACCTACGTCCTGAACAGGGTCACTAAAAACCAGTCAATATCCCTGCACCGTGTCACCCAACCCGCATTGCTAGGACTGTAATCCCAGTATTGTGGGTCAGGAGTGCGAGTGGGGTTGCGGTACCCTGTGAAGACTGCGGGAATAGCGAAGACTAAAATGACGTCACACGCTAGTAAAGTTCCGGTCAAAGTGACATTAATTGCATCTTTGTCTTTTCAATGCAATCGTCGTCGTGTGACGTCATAAAGTTCAGAGAAACATTTTCGCGGCGATTTAAAGAATCAAAAATTCGTTTCAGGTTTTTTACGGAAATACACAACAGAATGATGAATATATTGTTTTAAACTTTCATGGTCACCTACATTATAGCTATTAGTGGGACTGTGATTACTCCGTGCCGTGAGCATGACGCTTGCAACAGTGCCGAAATATCGGAGACTCGTAAAAAACAAGCTACATGACAACAATCCCGTTAATGGCTTTAAAGAACGATGAATATCAACTTTTTATAGACTCCTTAACATTATTAAATAACGTGAGATTTTTTTTTTAACTTGTCAAATACCTTACTTCGAGAAGAACTCGATGGCGCGGGTGGTGAGCGCATTCGGCTGCGATCGTTGAAGGTAAGCAACTTTCGCAGTGATCGGTATTTGGATGGGTGACCAAAAATCTTCTATCTCGAGTTCCTTCGTGCTTTAGACGGCACGTTAAGCCGTGGTCCCGGCTGCATCTGCAGTCGTTAGCACCCCGCCAAACCGCACTGTGCCCGCGTGGTGAGTTATAGCCCAATCTTCCTATTCCATCCATAGGGAAGGCCTGTGCCCCAGCAGTGGGGACATTAATAGGCTGATGATGATGACCTTATTTCATTTATCTCATTCATATACCTAAGTGTTTCGATTTTATGGTGGAGGGAAACATAACAATATTCGAATAATACCTGGTATGCGAAAGCGATGATGTACATAGTGCCACTCATGGCGTCGAAAGGATACCAAGCCTTGAGAGGCAATCTCGGAGCTGGCTCGGTTAGCGTTTCATTAGTCTCCTTATTGGCGATCAGGCGCACCGACTCGCCGAAGAAGGTTATTGTCACCCAACCTAAGAAAAATCAAAAAGAAATAAATATTTCCAAGACCAATTACCAGTTAACCTAACACCAAAGAAAGCACTGTAAGGCTTGTTTTGTAGAATACTAAAAAATAAATTCAAAATTCAATATCGTTTATTCAGTCTAGGCTGTTAAAAACTCTTGTGAATTTCAAAAAGCTACGCCATCGGTTCGCAAATCTACGGCGGGACACCTAATACTGAGAAGAACCCGCAAGAATCTCAACAAGGGCTGTTCATTTTCTCCCTGTATTATATACAGAGCCGTCAAATTGAAAAATTACTTCAATATGGGATAACTCATGAAGTCACTTTCCATTACAAATGAAAATGATATAACATTATGACTATAAAATAAAAAGATATATATAAAAAACTGATTTAAAAAAAGTTTAGGTATGTTTAGGGATGCCGTGTCCTACTGTTAAGGCATTAAGAAATGTACGATTAAAGTTAAATACAACGATTAATAGTACCCAATGTAGCAAGAGCAGACTCATCTCCGCTGGCAGCACCTGTTCCTGAGCACGACGAATGAACCAGGCATCGCTTCGCTCAACCATTTTTTAGGGAACGTAAGGACCCGCCTAACACGACACCGCCGAAGAGATTTTTAGGAGAGCATGACTACTCATAACCACATATGGATACTAGGTTGCAAAATAAGAAAAAAAAAGTACCAGCGTACCTTATTATAACAAACTATAACACAACTGTAGGACACATGCATGTGATTACCTAAACACTGGTGTCGACTCTGCCACGACTGTCCAAACCCAAAACCAAACCCAACATCAGTGCCCCCCTCACACTCTGTATAGAGAATGACAAGGATACACCGCTGCAAAACCAAACTTCAGGTCTAGAGAACCATGCCAGAATCCTCACCACAATTAAATACTAGGGTATCGGATAGACATACATATACTGATACATTTATGAATACACTATTTATATAGAAATACATATAAACATTCATGAAATAGGTACTAATTTGTATTTATCACACTAACATTGACCCCAACAGGGTCGAACCCGGGACCTCTGGGTAGGCGACACCTTGAAACTTGATGTATGCATTTGAACCTTTCAAAATACTGCAATTATTGAAGGCCTTGGGGTACAAGTACCAGAACCTTTTAGAGTAAAAAAAAGTCATTATTCATGTATGTAAAAGTGGATTACGACATTGCAATGTTATTTTTTGTATCAACACCAGACGCAGACGTGCGTACATTTAATTCAATTATTTAGGTTACGATAACTTATTATAGAATTCCGTGTCAATCCACACTAAAGTTAGTTTGTATCGCAATGTCGAATGTAAAATATGTATAACAGTAATTTTTTTAAGAAAAATTATATTCTAACTTTAATACCAGAAACCGACACAAACTAGCTGTTCCAATGTTTAAATTAATAAAAACGCTTAGGGAAAAACATTACCTTTATTAATTGCCTCTTAATATTACCGATCATCCAATGCATAAATTAAAAACTCGAGTAAAATATACTAATACTATCAAATCCAAGATTATTTGAACAATCGAAATGTCTGGGTCCAACCCATCTATTACCATCCTTAGCTCTTTAAGTTATCTTTCCTAATGCAATATTAAATATAATTGATCTATGTAACAGATAAAGAATGAAATTATAACAATGGCTTGTTAACGACATATTTTTATGTAAATTTGCCAACTAAATAAGAAGCTGAAAAATTTCTTTCGCCTTAGAAAAAAAAACAATTATTATAAGGACGATTTCAAAGAGCTTTTAATAAGTCTACTTGAACTAAGTTTTTTTTTTCATTAATCATTCCGCAGGTCTCTTTGCCCGTCTTATCTTTCCAAGTGAACTAGTTCACAATTACAGTCAGACATGGTATTCTAACAAATTCGAAGTGTGGCGGCACTGTAATAGAACTTTACAATGAACACTAACTGAATAACAGTGGCTTCAGTCTCCTGTAATTGGAGGTAATCTTCCTAGGTTTCTCAGAAACATGTCTGTGTACACTATGGCTCAGCGCACGCCGGGAGAGGCCCGGCGAATATACTGAGAAGTTAACAATTAAAGTTAGACCATAATTCTTATATCATCAGTTTAAAATTTTCATGGCAAACATGAAACAATACACAAGCGGCGCACAGTGCTGCGAAGCGCGTTTTCAAACTTTTGATGTAGGAATTAGAGTTTAACTTAAATTGTTAACTTTTTAGTATCCTCGCCGTGCCTCTTCCGGTGTGCACTGCGCCATTGTCTTAGGATAATCCCATGCGATGTGCCAGTACCTTTGAAACTGGAAAGGAGCTTAAACTTTCTTTAGCTAAGGCTAACGCTTCACAATGAATGAATAAACAACTATTTCCGAGCAGAGAGTCGCGCATTCATTCCCCCTCCTGAATAAGTAATAGCCAACTAGATGTTGTTGTGCAAAGGCACGATGGGTCTGTGGATTGTCACCGACTTTGAAATAAGAGCAGCAATTTGTATAAGAATAAGGTTCGAGCAAGTAAAAATAACGTAAGAAGTGCGCTCTTTATTTTTGAAGTTGTTTCAATAATATCGAAATGATTGATGGTGCTGTTATAAACTATTTCAGTTTTGTACTATGATCAGTAGAACTGAGAGAACTAGAATTGGACGGATAAAACCAGTACCAGAACTGTTACAACTAGATGAACATTACGTTTAATAAAGTCAAAGAAAATCTTGCAGTAATTATCTCAAGAACGAAATATTTCTGAAGAACATAATAAAATTAAAGGATCTCCTTCGTTACTCGGAAGGTACGTTAAGCTGTTAGATATTGTTCTTGTTCAGTAATGACAACAATTTTCTTTTACCGTTCCCAATACGTAGATAACTTTAGTTTCAAAAAGTCTTTCAATATACCTATACGAAGGGGAAAAGTCTTCTAGGTATTCATATTTTTTAAAAGAGTGTTGGCACCAGGATAAAAGATAAAACTTAATCATGCTTTTATGTAAGGGTAGGAGCATGAGAAACAATACATTCTGGTTCTCCTACCATTAGCAGAACCTAGTATGAGCTGGGGGAAACATGACTGTAACTAGGCAATGAGGACATTTAACACACCTCGAGCCTCTTCAATTACGCCGCGAAGTGGCGTCACTAAGCGCGTCCTATCGTCTGTACCACGGCGAGTGTTCTGAGGAGTTATTCTCTCTATTTCCACCTTCCCCTTTCCTTCAGAGGACCACGCGTGCTGGCTTACGTTGTCACCGTATAACTGTGGCTACAATTTCAACGCGTACAAAATTTGGTGACTCATTTCTTTGTCGTACTATCCGTAAATGGAATGCTTTGCCCGCTCACGTGTTCCCTCCCTCTTACAACCTGGGATCCTTTAAAAGAGGCGTGAAGAAGCAACAAAGCTACATGCAGGCCGGCAGCGTGAGGATGGCTGGTGTGGCAGGTAGAACTGCTGTATCAGCTATCTTCGCATCTGGACTTCGCCTGCACTTAACATCAGGTGGGGTGGGGTGGAGTCATTTGTCGGAACTATCTATATATATATAAAAAAAAACATTCTTATAATAAATTTCAGCACTTACTAACAACTGACAGAACTGTAACGGTGCAAATGAAGTACAGAAGTCTTCTCATCTTAGTGAGTGCCAGCTGGTGGTAGCGAGCATCGGATTCGGTAAACAAAGGGTGACTGTTCGATTGGTTCCAAACGGCTAGTGTTCTGCAATTAAATAAATAAATTAATATACGGTAACATCACATCAGGTTATATGAGAGATAGGACAGAAAGTTCTTATTTAAATGTTTAAGCCTCAATCTATTTCTATTTGACTTCAAACATATAAGGAATATGCATGTTTTTTTTATGTATCTATTTAGCAGTTAACATTCCCTTCATACATTTAAAAAAATCAACGTCAATGATTTTTTTTGACGGACTGTTTATACGCGCGATTTTGGAACGCTTGGATGTGACGTCCCAATACATATTCCGACATTTTGCGTTACATGCCTTGACTACGGAGGGAAGTTGGAACCTACTTCAATCAAATAGACATTATGTTCCATATTTTTTTGGTAAAAATTAAAATGTTATAGTGAAAAGTTGCACTCGGTATCTAGGTGGAACGCGGCTTTGACACGCACTCGCACTATAATCTATGTACTGTGAAAATCACGTTTGTTTGTTGTTAGGTATATACAGGGTGGTCAAAAAGTCGTGGATCAAACGAAACAGGGGGATAAAGAAGGTTATTTCCAACAAAAAATCTTTCTACAGCATGGCCATAACTTCATTGCACGAAAAGTTATGAATATTTTTGTTTTTTTCAATGAATCTACCGAGTTTTTTTACAATTTAATCAATAAAAAAATGAATTGATTAAACACAATAAAACAAAAGGTGTTGTATTATGACCGGATTATGTATCAATACTACAAAAATTGTATTGGAGCTCTCGATACCAAATTTAACGAGCAATGAATTTTTTTTCGTAAATTTTGAAGCCATACAAAGAATTTCTTCTCATTTTAGGAGCACCATGTGAAAAAAAAATGAATACAGAAAAGTGATCCTGTATTAAAAAAACTTGCTGATTTAATGCTGATTCAAATGAGGTACAACACTTTACTGTGTGACCTTTAGTTTTGGTTTTATGGTCGTTTTTTCATGTCAAGGTGCAAATTTATAAAATGGTAAATTGAAAGGAAAATTTAGATTCTTGCTCATACATACTATGATATACATATTTCAGAAGCCATCATGAAATAAAAAGATCAATTATGACTTAGTAATTTTATTACAATTAAAATGTTTACATTAAATGTTCAAAGTTCCTACCTCTGACCATAATGCACAATATGCACCGCCTAATAAAATTCGCACGTAATCGGCGGAATGCACCTCTGTTATAACAATTTGTAACCTAGCGAACTCGAGCTTTTGTCGTAGTTCTTGTTCGGTGTTATTCTCTCCTTGATACACTATTTCTTCGGGCGACCAGGGTGGTCATGCAATAGGTCCGCCTCGACCAATCCACCGGTTAGGGAAGCGCTCGTTCAAATGTCCTCGAACTGCTCGAGCATAATGAGGCGGGGCGCCATCTTGTTGCAGCCACATTTCTGCCACTCTATCTTCAGGAATCTCAGCTTCGTTGAGTATATGGTTCAAATTATTCTGTAAAAAATTCAAATACAGAGCACCATTCAGCCTTGGTGGCACTTCATGTAGCATAGGCTTCTGGTCAATTATTCCAGCCCACATGTTTATACCAAACAAATGCTTGAATCGATCATTTCTGATGATATGTGGGTCACTCTTGAGTAAAATTGTAAATTGCGGATGTTAAAAATTCCCATTCTTCTAAAATTTGACTCATCAGTCCATAAAATTTTGTTGTAGAACTGCGGATCCTCTCTGTGTCGTCTAAGCATCTCTCTGCAAAATACCATTCTAGGTCCATAGTCAGAGGGCTGTAAAGCTTATAAAGCCCTTTGCACGAGGTAACCGTGGTATTTTTTTCTTTTAATAATAAGCTGCACCGTCGATCATGGGATCCCGAGATTTCGTTGGCGTTGGCTAATACCAGGGTTCATTCTTAACTGTCTCAGTAATGAGTGATGTGCGTGAAAACCTAAGAAACAAATATGTCTCAGTATTTGCTCTTCATTGTCAAATCGTACCACTGGTCTACCTGTTCTCAATTTTTGACAAAGGATTAAATGGTTAGTGTGAAAGCGTATCTGTCCATTTCATAAATCCTAAGCGTGACAAGAACAGAACATTTCTAGCGTTCCAACGTACAAAAAAATAGCCGTTTATGTTCAACTAGTAAATTATTTGAATAAGGTTAATTTAATGAAATTTGCACCTTGATATGAAAAAACGACCATAAAACCAAAACTAAAGATCACACAGTAAAGTGTTGTACCTCATTTAAATCAGCATTAAATCAGCAAGTTTTTTTAATACAGGGTCACTTTTCTGTAATACATTTTTTTTCACATGGTGCTCCTAAAGTGAGAAGTAATTCTTTGTAACGCTTCAAAATTTACGAAAAAAAATGTATTGCTCGTTAAATTTGGTACCGAGAGCTCCAATACAATTTTTGTAGTATTGATACATAATCCGGTCATAATACAACACCTTTTGTTTTATTGTGTTTAATCAATTTATTTTTTTATTGATAAAATTGTAAAAAAAACTCGGTAGATTCATTGAAAAAAACAAAAATATTCATAACTTTTCGTGCAATGAAGTTATGGCCATGCTGTAGAAAGATTTTTTGTTGGAAATAACCTTCTTTATCCCCCTGTTTCGTTTGATCCACGACTTTTTGACCACCCTGTATTTCTATGTCACAATAATAATAATAATAAATATTTCCAGCACACACCAATTAGCCTAGCCCTAAAGTAAGCACTATACGGCTTGTGTTATGGGATACTAGGAAAGAAAGAAGAAAGAAATAATTTTATTTGAGACAACATAATAATATAAAAAATAAAATAAAATAATTAAATATAGTCTCAAAACGGTCCCAACTCAGCATAGTGCTAATGTTGCCATTAGCGCTGGTCTTCCGTTGGAACCGGTTTGGTGTCGCACGAATGAATAACTACAAGAACAATAAATAACATAAAAAAGAAAATAGAAAACAAAATAAAAACCAGGAATAAAAATAAAAACAAAACATGCTTGGCTGAATGTACAAAATATCTCTGCCACAGCCACTTAAAAAGAGAGAAGAGAAAAAAAAAATCTCTCTCCCTCTCCCCACACGCTAAGGCAAAAGACATTTCCCACATAACACGTTATTAAACGCAAATTCTGTCTGCATTAACAAACTAAAACAAAAAAAAGAAAAGCACTAAATCTAAAGGGTGGATACTGAAAATACAAAGGTTTTTAGTTTTAGGTTCATTATTGCCAAATTATTTTTATTTGGTACTTTTATTAAAAAAAAAATAGTAACTTATCATTTTCAACCAACTTTAAAATACTTCGGATATAATAAAAAAAATAAACAGGTAAAAAAAAAAAAAAAAAAAAAAAAAAAAATTATGATATTATATGAAAACAAATCTCGGACATACATGCAAGGTGAGACTAAATTGCACTAGTGTCATGTAATAGTGTTTCCTGTGATTTTTGATGTGTTTCTAGTAAATTACGCACTTTAAATCTAAACAATTTGACGTTTTGCAGGTCCCTTAATGGTGGAGGTATATTGTTCCAGCATCTGGTTGCTGCATAACTAGGGTAAGGATAGAATACATATACTGTACACATATAAGTATATTTATATAGAAAATACATATTAAACATCCATGACTGGAGTACAAATGCTCGTATTCATCACACAAACATCTGCCCCCACCGGAATTTGAACCCAGGACCTCTCGAGTCGGCGACATCATGAAACCCGGCGTACAAACCACTTGGCCACGGAGGTCGTCAATATATAAAATAAAATATATATAAATATTTGCATTTCCCATAAGTTTTTGGCACTTTTATATCTGTACCTAAGTTCTTGTTCAAAAAGAAATATTATTAACAAATATTGATGGAAAGACAACTTAAAAGCAATAGAGTTTATATAAAAACTAAAATGAGGCTTATTTTAAAAACATGCATATTCCCTATACACAAAGATGGGATGTTGTGTTTGGAATTCAGAACTTTGATACAATCGGGCGTATAACGCCTGCGGTGTTATCCGCATTTTATTAGGAATATTTTCCCGCAGTAAAACGTAGCCTATAAGTTAATCCAGGGTGTCAGCTAACTTCATACCAAATTTTATGAAAATCGCTCCAGCCGCTTAGACGTGAAGAAGTAACAAACATACACACTCAGAAACTTTCGCCTTTATAATATTATGTGATTTTTAAAGTAAACGTCTACTATGATATAATAGAAGTCTTTCCATTATTTTGAAAGCAGTCACTTTTATTTCATTTATAATACCAACTATTTTTCATTTAAATACGAGGAGGAAATATTACATCAGCAAAACAAGAAGAAAAAGATTTTAACAACTTTTTTCTATTTTCTAATTTGTAACATGACCGTAACACAAAGGGGTCGTCTCGAAAGTTTTCTCTTTTATCGACTTTGTAACTTCGGAAAACAATCAGTGTCTTAAACTTTTTCTTATACAAAAACTAGAATTTGACTTTACTGGAGTTATCGTGTGGGCGGGAAGATGTGTGTCTAGTTTGAGAGAAGTGGGGCAAAGCGGCTTTCTCGCTTGAATGCGATGGTTGGTTCATGCGTCATGCTCGTGAACGGGTGCTGCCAGCGGAGATGAGTCTGCTCTTGCTTCATAGGGTACTATTAATCGTTGTACTAAACTTTAATCGTTAATTTTTTTTTGCCTAAACAGTAGGACACGGCATTCCTAAACATTCCTGAACTTTGTTAAACCAGTTTTTTATATATTTTTTATCTTATAGTCATATTTTTTTTATTATTTGCATTTGTAATGGAAAGTGACTTAATGAATAACCTCATATTGAAGTCATTTTTTCAATTTGACGACTCTGTATATAGTACAGGGAGAAAAAAACAGCCCTTGCTGAGTTTCTTGCCGGTTCTTCTCAGTACAAGGTCTCCCGCCGTAGATTTGCGAACCGATGGCGTAGATTTTCGACATGTGTGCTTGTAGACTGAATAAACTATATTGATTATTTTTTTTTGAATTGAAGCGCCCGTCTGTGGAAGTAACTTCTACCTTACAGAAGATGACAGTAAAATAACATTACCTTTTGGTTTGGTTGTGTTTCTGTCGGTTGTACATAAGTTGAACGACTATTACTCGCAAACTAACAAATCTATTTTAACCGTTATAGTTTTCCTTAAGAATTCAAAAAAAGCGCTATTATCATGACTTTTTCCACATTTTTCAAGCCAAAAGTTTAGCTTTTAGAGGGAGGGGCGACCTACAGGAACAAAATTTAGCACTTTAAGGTTTAATATTACGCAAACGGATCCATAAATCGAAAAATAGTCTTAGGAACCCTGAAATAATTTCAAAGGACCTATTTAACAAAAATTTACACGATTGGGTAGACGATAAAAAAAATCATCTCCATGTAAACTGTAGTAGGAGGAGCACCCTAAATGAAAAAATAAAAAAAAATCTACCATTTTGTCGGCATTATTGATATGCATATCTCCACAAAATTACAGCTCTCTAGTGCTAACAGTCTTCAAGCAAAACCGGGAACGGACGGAAGACCTTGTCCTGTTCCTTGTCAGGACTACGGAACTAAGGACCTAATATTGCAGCTTTGTATTTTTCACTCTTCAATGAAAAGAGATTTATGACCAGTTTGAAAATCCACTGTACGCAATACTTCTCCTAACATTTTGATAACATCTTGTTTAACAGTTTGACAAGTAATATTACTATTCATATTGTTAAAAGGGAGGCCACTCTTTACCCGACGAAATCAGTTCAAAGGAGACACTTCCCTCATAAACGACCCAAAGTTCGTCCCGTAACGAGATATTCTCAGAGGGAATTCGATTTACTTCTCGCGTTCGAATGATGTCAAACATTTCTTGTCGTTCGTCGTTAGTAAAAATGACCTACGTGAATGCGCGTTCTTATGGTAGGACGTACATGAAAAACATTTAAACATATTAATTTACCATATATAAACATTACCAAAGTACGGTGTTTAGCAGCGAATTTAAGAAACCACGTTAACACACTTAGGCTCACCTGCAGCAATTTTGCTGAATCTTGATTTAACTAAAGCTAAGTTTAACTCATAGAAAAATGTCAAAACGTCAATGTCAATTTGATATTATTGTGTGGGCTACATCGAGTTTTAGCTTAATTGAGATTTTGATTTTTTCAAGCATTTAACTGCCAGATGTTTTAATTCTAAAGAAAATTTTACCTAAAAAAAACACGTGGACGAGGCAGCAGACGGGACTCAAACTAGCACCCTCCGCTATCCGGGCGGATGCACTGACCATTATGCTACGAGTTTGGAACTCGTCAGCAGGTTGTACAGCAGGTCTAGTCTGCGTAGATTTTTTCTAGTAAAATTGTCTTCAAATTAAAATTAATCAAAATTGCTGCATTGGACCTTAATCCCCAAATCATTTAAAATAAGTTTCAAATTAATTCAAGTCAAGGGAATTTCATTTCAATTGCATATTCCTCTTCAAGTATAATTTTCTTTACTACTTATAGAAATTAAAGAATAAATATCAGTAGTTTAGTTTTTATTAAAAACTTAAACTTAAAAAGAGTGATGAGTGAAGTAAAGTACGTAGGTACTACGTAACACAAATTCAGACCAAAAAATGAAAACCGAATGAATCATAATGGAACAGGAAAATCATTTATTCCGTTTTCTATTAAACAGTAATCGTTCAAAGAGGATTTCATCATTTAGGGGACAAAGGAATTTACGCGATAGAAACCACTGAGAAACAAAGTTAAATTTTCTCAACTCTTCAGACAAAAACATCGGTTTGCCGTAATAAGAGAAAATGAAGGCGTCGACGATAAGAAAATTATTTTCCATTTAAAAGCCTTTGTGTTCACTCGTTAAATTAAAATTGGTTTGAAACGAATTCTCTTTCTGACGCTCCTCGCTATTTGTTAAATACGTAACTGATTTAATGAGGTGTCGCGCTATAAAGATCCAGCTTTCATCTTTTGTTCAAAATTCTAAGGTGTTTCATTAAAGATAATGAAAAGTAATAAAAAGTTTTTAGATTTTCCAACATCTTCAACATCTAAAAAAAGTTTCGTGACTCTTAGAAAGATAAAAATATGATGCTGTAGTGACAAGCTCTTTTGAAATCATCAATGATCTGTATAACTTTTCATCAGTACATATCTTGTGTATAAATAATATAATTAACTATGCATAATAAATCAAACATCTTCTGCATCAAATAACTCAAGAAATAATATAGGGCTTACTACTCACCCCTGCGGTATCCTTACCTGTAGAAACTTTTAGAGTTCACAGCAAAGAACAGAAGCTTAATAACAGTATGAGTAAAAAACAACACTGTGATTGTGTTAGCTGTCAGCTCGTTAACTTCATCAGAGTACTGAGCCATATTCACAGCCATACAGAGAAAGTTAATGACGATTAAGATGGCATGAACACTGGAGTAAATCTTACGCAAAAGCGTAGACATGCCAGAGTTATCTGCAAATGTAATAATATTCAGTATAAACTTGTTAGCTTCACACTGTGTCGTAGATATTATTGAAAAAAATATATAGGTACCTGAATGATAATTAAATAAGAAATGGCCAGCCGCTTGCATCAATTTGATGTTCGGCATCAAATCGGACACAAGGCCCTGGGCCTTCACTTTGGCCATCATCTGCAAGAAATTCATTGAAATTCTTGAATCCAGATTAATCACATTTTTTTACATTAAAATCTACAGCAATCGCACTTGCCTTGAAAAATTATTATCTATATTCTTTTTTACTGTTTTTACAAAATTAAATACTGAAGTTATTATATATTTATTAAACGTTGGAACTATTACCAACGTTGTGTCTTAGTCAACATTTTTATTTTCACCCAAATAATTTTGGGATGCTCCCTTTTTAAAACACGTGTGATCTTCGCTTCTACCAAGAAATAAATGGACACCGTCATTGATTTTCATTTCATTGTCATTACTAGTTTCGCACTGACGTGTATTAGTTTCAAAGTCACGTCGTCGATTGCTACGTGAGAATGAGACATATGGCGTTGGACGTTGAAGAAGGTAAACTCCTTGTATTTAATTATGTATGTTACTAGTATCTAGTAGTATGGGAAATATGTGTATGGTGTCATCAAGAATCGGTGTATTCGTTAAAACCGTCTATGTTAAATCGAAGTGTGTTTCCGTTGTTAGAATTTTGTTTGTTGTTAGTGTTTACTTTTCAGTGTACTGTCTTAGCCAATAACAATCAAATATTTATCTTGCGGTTATTATTTTCTGATTGCACACAGCGATACCATATTTGTGTTTTGTAACTATGATGTATATATGAAAACTTCTTATAGTAGTTAACCAAAAAAGGAACTATGTAATAATAATAATAGCTAAGTTTTTCGAAGACAAGTAAAATAATAACAACAATAATAGTTATTTATGCAACTGTTGTATAATGAGAGGTATTAACACATCTCTCTGTTTTACGCACTTTTGCAGTTGGATAGGATTGGAGTTTTAGTTTTGAAAGTGGACTGACCTACTAGCATTACTAGGTGTAAAGGTACCTTAACACGTGGGAGTGTATTCTCACTCTACATTACCTATAGTCTACCCACCACTACAAAAGAGACTGTAGCACCAACCAGATTTTGATCGCATCAAAAGCTATCTCATAGTCCACAAACGTCAGCCAGATTGTACTCCTCGATTTCCTGTGATCACGGCATGGCACGGAAGCGTTTTTGGAAACCAGCTTGTTCAGGAGGTTAGAAGTTGTCAAACCTGCGAGCGAGAAGATTCGTATAAACTGTAAAAAACAACTTCTAAACATGGCTCCGAAGTGAGATTAGTCAATAGTTCTTCAATAGTGTATTACCCCTTTTTAAGGAATATAATAAATTCACTTCTGCCACATAATGATGGAATTCAAAAGCTTCTGAAGGACTTAAATATCGGTTTACCGTCCGTTCTCAGAAGTACTGTAGTGATTCCATCATCGCCCGGCGCCTTGCTGTTTATAAGTTGTTTGAGAGCCATATCTATCTCTTACAGGCTGAAGTCCGATATAGTGTTGGGGTAAACTTGGCTCAAGGATATTTAGACTTGCTTTCAATAGGTACTTATGCTCAGTATTACTGTTGATATAACTTCTCAATCTCTTTTAGGATTTCGGCCTTATTCGAAATTATACTACTGTCTTCAGTTTTCAGTTCTCTAAATTTACTTTGCCCGATAGACAGATTTCTTGCAAACACTTTGAAGCACTTGTTTCGCTCTATAGCTTCTTTATATTATTAGTATGAAATTGGCGGTGGTCGCTTGTCAGACTTAGAAACCTGCTTATTAAGAAACCAATATTTACTTGCATCGGCTGAGTACCATAACCTCATTAATTTCATTTCGCTATTTCATAAGTTGGAGTTTCTCGTTGGATAGTTTCTTAATTCTGGTAAGGCATTTGAAATACGGTGCAGTATCCACCACCATCATGGAGATCGTCCATAATTAAGCTGATTTCGGGGGATCTGAAGCGGGAGTTCGAGTTGAAAGCTCTCGGTGTTTTCAAATTGGGGGGGGCACCCCAGTACCAGCTTCTCCCTTTGGATCGCATCCAGCGCCGAGTGGCTTGAATCGTCGACGACCAGAACCTTTCCGATCAGCTTCATCCTTTGACTTTGCGTAGGGATGTAGCTTCGCTCTGCATCTTCTATCGCATTTATCACGGGGAGTGTTCTGAGGAATTGTTCGGATTAATTCCAGCTGCTGCATTTCGCCATCGTACATCGCGACAAAAATTTCATCCCCATCATCTTGATGCGTGGCTATCCACAACCGTGCGTTTATGTCGAAATTTTTTACCACGTACGACAAAACTGTGGAATATGTTGTCGCCAGCAGTGTTCACTTACCATCATGTGAGCCGTCTGCTCGTATGCCAACTATAACATAAAAAATCCTCCAAGCTCCTTCAAGCATAATGTTGATATCCAATGAGCCTCTTACCAAACGGTGGTTGTTCTCGTGTATTTTCATAAACATTATCACATCAATAAACGTGGTTGTTGGCCCCTTAACTTTATCGATTATCCAAAATGTTTTTAAATCCAGAAAAAATGCCAAATAATCTTGAATTTTGACCGACCTAACAAATAATAAGTGTTAGTCATACTTTCTTACGTATTATATTTTTTGACAATATCACATTTTGTATGTACTTATAAACTAACTTTATTTCTTTTAGACAGCTTTTATATTGCAATAACTCTCAAACGACCGCTTTAAATGGCGTGGTTTATTGAAAATTTAGAACGATCAAAGGATGCTTCGAAGGCATCATTACATTTTATATGAGCAGTAAAGGTGTGAAGAATTTTCTCATGTGTTAAATATTTATAAGTTTTTGATAAAAAAACATTTTCTTAAAAATATGTATGTTAAAAATTGAGCACTTTAATATTTACCTAATATAGAATATATTTGTTATGAGCAACCAATACTATGAAAAATAACTATCACCTTGATGCGACCTCAGTTGAACCCTGTGCAGCTGCTATAACAGCTGAGTCTAATAAAAGGCGCAAGTACCGGGATGTGGGTGAGATATATTTTTTCCTGCCTTTTGCTGTAGAGACAATGGGCCCTTGGGGCCCTGCTGCAAGATTATTTCTTAAGGATATGTCTGCTCGCCTGTGCGAGGCTACGGGGGACCCAAGATCTGGTAGCTTTTTTGCTCAACGAATTAGTTTGGCAATACACCGAGGCAACGCTAGTCTTCTGGGGACCGTGCCCCTCACAAGCGAACTCAATGAAATATTTAATTTGAAATTATTGTTGTACTTTTTGCTAACATTATTAAATTTTACTATTGTAATAATTAAGGAAATAATAATATTATTTTTATTTTAGTTGACTGGCTCTGCAGACCAGCGTCTTCAAATGCGATTCGATGTCTGGTACCAATTCCCGATTAACCGTACCTGACACTTTAGTTTGTAACCATAAGCTAGGTTGTTGCGATAACTCGACGTTGTTTCTATTTGCTCATAGCAAAGTCTTTGGTTAAAATATTAGCTCATAGGAAGTCTTTTTGCAAATCAAAGAAAGTAACTGTACCCTTGTAAATCAACCAAGTGAGAACTGAGAATTTGAAAGCCTTTTTTTTGTTTTTATCTTTGATGAGATATTAAAAAGGTTCTCAATGCGGTAAATATCATAAAAAGAAACAAATAATTATAAAAAAATACTTTTTCGTAATCATTTTTATAACCGGATGATTTTTTGCGCCTACGCAAAAGAGGCTCGTATATCCGTTAACATAAAGACAAAATGAATGATAAATTTCATACTGCGGCACCTAATACCCTCTCATATGAGAATAATTACCTTTGCGAACACGTAAGTCCCCAAATAAGTCACATTTCTTAGGATCTACGTTGTCACACCTTCGAGCAAACTTTAATTTGCCGACCGTAAAAAGAGCAGGGAAACCTATCCTCTGCGACACAAGATTCATTGTAGCTTGGCATTTATTTTGTTGCTGGTATGTAGTGTTCCAATGTTTTCCCCAAGGGCGGAAACGGCAAGCTAAGCTGAGCGTTTAGATTTCATTAAGGGAAGGTTGGTTCCCGTTTTATGCTTTGCTATCACAAATGTGTCTGACAGAATTTTAATTAAGCTAAATTAGTATCCTTAAGTTAAACAAGCAAGGGCACATAGTAGGGCGAGCTCTCATACCTACTTTCAGCAACCAATTTGACTTAGAGTTTGACAATATTTACATGTATGTGTCAATAAAATACGAAAATAAGAATAGCGATATACAAAGCTTTATGATATATAGAAATATCATGCTGTATTTTCAATTCGGCTGGGATATTCATAAAAAAACATTTAAACCCCCAATTTCATTAATAGTTAGTAACAGAGTTTCAAGCGCTAAAAAGCTCACAAAAGGCGATAATATTAAAAAACAGCGTGGGTTCACAGGGCATTGTACCTGCTCATTTTTTTCTGTGAAGCATCCATCGCTTTTCTGCAGTATCTATAACTCGTATATGCCCACGCCATTTTTTTTGTTATCTTATGTACACCCTGATTAGAAAACGAAACAAAAAGGCACTTTCGTTGATGATCATTAAGTTCTACATTTTGTTTGGACAGTTCATACTATCGCCATTTATATGCAAAAAAGGCACTTTTTGAAAATTGTGGTTACACTATTTGTGTGGTTATGAGTCAGTGCAAGTTTTGGCATCATTTCAATGGTCAAAAATCAACGAGTCTCTTCCAAAAAAGTAAGAAATTATCCAAATCAGCTGAAATTTACGATTTTTGTATGTTCTTAACTAAAGTAAGAAAGAAAGAAATTTTATTTGTTACAACATGTGTAAGGAAGATGTCAAATGATAAAAGAACATAACATGTCGTGCCAATATCGGCATACAAATGAATTATTATTTATATACTTAATTATTATTCTAAGAATTAAATAACAAAAATCAAAATCTCAATACTTTCAATACAATAAAAAATATCCACAAAATGGGCAAATACTTTAATTAATATGTCAATACTTTCAAATCAATAATCAAATATCAATAAAATTGGGCAACTTAACATAATGTCAATACTAGCATGCTACAAAAATCTAAATGTCAATACTGTCAATA